AACAGTGAGAGACAGAATAACAACAAAAAAATCCAGAAAAACGCATGTCAAAAATGTTATAAATTGATTTGCATTTTAATGAGGGAAATAAGTATTTGACCCCTCTGCAAAACATGACTTAGTACTTGGTGGCAAAACCCTTGTTGGCAATCACAGAGGTCAGACATTTCTTGTAGTTGGCCACCAGGTTTGCACACATCTCAGGAGGGATTTTGTCCCACTCCTCTTTGCAGATCTTCTCCAAGTCATTAAGGTTTCGAGGCTGATGTTTGGCAACTCGAACCTTCAGCTCCTTCCACAGATTTTCTATGGGATTAAGGTCTGGAGACTGGCTAGGCCACTCCAGGACCTTAATGTGCTTCTTCTTGAGCCACTCCTTTGTTGCCTTGGCCGTGTGTTTTGGGTCATTGTCATGCGACCCATTTTCAATGCCCTGGCTGAGGGAAGGAGGTTCTCACCCAAGATTTGACGGTACATGGCCCCGTCCATCGTCCCTTTGATGCGGTGAAGTTGTCCTGTCCCCTTAGCAGAAAAACACCCCCAAAGCATAATGTTTCCACCTCCATGTTTGACGGTGGGGATGGTGTTCTTGGGGTCATAGGCAGCATTCCTCCTCCTCCAAACACGGCGAGTTGAGTTGATGCCAAAGAGCTCGATTTTGGTCTCATCTGACCACAACACTTTCACCCAGTTCTCCTCTGAATCATTCAGATGTTCATTGGCAAACTTCAGACGGGCCTGTATATGTGCTTTCTTGAGCAGGGGGACCTTGCGGGCGCTGCAGGATTTCAGTCCTTCACGGCGTAGTGTGTTACCAATTGTTTTCTTGGTGACTATGGTCCCAGCTACCTTGAGATCATTGACAAGATCCTCCCGTGTAGTTCTGGGCTGATTCCTCACCGTTCTCATGATCATTGCAACTCCACGAGGTGAGATCTTGCATGGAGCCCCAGGCCGAGGGTGATTGACAGTTATTTTGTGTTTCTTCCATTTGCGAACAATCTCACCAACTGTTGTCACCTTTCACCAAACTGCTTGGCGATGGTCTTGTAGCCCATTCCAGCCTTGTGTAGGTCTACAATCTTGTCCATGACATCATTGGAGAGCTCTTTGGTCTTGGCCATGGTGGAGAGTTTGGAATCTGATTGATTGATTGCTTCTGTGGACAGGTTTCTTTTATACAGGTAACAAACTGAGATTAGGAGCACTCCCTTTAAGAGTATGCTCCTAATCTAAGCTTGTTACCTGTATAAAAGACACCTGGGAGCCAGAAATCTTTCTGATTGAGAGGGGGTCAAATACTTATTTCCCTCGTTGAAATGCAAATCAATTTATTACATTTTTGACATGCGTTTTTCTGGATTTTGTTGTTGTTATTCTGTCTCTCACTGTTCAAATAAACCTACCATTAAAATTGTAGACTGATCATTTATTTGTCAGTGGGCAAACGTACAAAATCAGCAGGGGATCAAATACTTTTTTCCCTCACTGTACATGCTAATATCGCCACTGAATAAGAGAAGATAATAATACTGACTAGCGAGTGGAAGCATATTTCAATAAAACTTGAATAACTTTAATTATGAAGTTAGTTCACATGAATGAAACAGGATTTGCGTGTTGCTTGCTCATCCCCCTTTGCTTTCGCAAGCTTTTTTTAAGCCCATGACATAACGTTAGCTAGCTAGTTAGATAGCTATGGATATTTAGCTTGCAAGCTTATGGACTTTTAGCTGGTTAATGTATTTCAGCCAGCTAGCTAAGGTTAGCTAAGTTAAAGCTGCAATATTTAACTTTTTGGGCGACCCGACCAAATTCATATAAAAATGTGTGTTATAGATATGTCATTCTCATTTAAAGCAAGTCTAAGAAGCGGTAGATATTTTCTATGTGCACTATTTCTATGCTTCCTGTTCTTAAGTTTTGTTTTTGTGTCTTTTACTTTGGGTTTTGTACACCAGCTTCAAACAGCTGAAAATACAATATTTCAGGTTATGGAAAATATATTTCACAGCGGTTTAGATGGTACAATGATTCTCTACACTAAACTTGCTTGTTTTGTCACATAAACTGAAATTACTGGCAAACTATTAGAATTTTAGCAACCAGGAAATGGCAGAGCGATTTCTGCATAGTGCATCTTTAAGTTAGTTGGGGGTAAAGTCCAGTCGCTTGTTATTTTCCAAAATACAATTTTAGTTACCTGAATTTAAACATTTTAGTTGGGCCAACTTACCAACATGAGAAAATGTAGGCAACAATTCAGTCAACTTGAAATGATGTGTTTGCTCAATTTGTCTCATATGTTCATTCAATTACACATTATTATTTTGGCATTTTAACATCAATAAAGACTGTGGAACTAGTTACACACACAATGCTTTTAACATACAATGTTTCAACGTACATATTTGACACACGTTGATATACATGATTACAGTGTGCATGTTCATTTACATAGTGATGTAAAGTAACTAAGTAGAAATATTTCAAAGTATACTTAAGTAAATCGTTTTTTGGGGTATCTGTAACCTACTTTAATATTAATCTTTTTGTCAACTTTTACTTTTACTCCACTTCATTCCTGAAGAAAATATGTACTTTGTACTCCCATACATTTTCCCTGACACCCAAAAGTACTTGTTACATTTCGAAGGCTCAGGCAGGACAGCAATATGGTACAATTCTGTCACGGTCGTTGAGAGACGGGTCAGACCAAGGTGCAGCGTGATATGCGTACATATTTATTAAGACGAATAAACACTTGACAAAATAACAAAACAACGAAAACGTGAAGTCCTATGGGCTATACACACAACAAGCCTAACAGGAACACAAACAAGATCCCACAACCAGGCTACCTAAGTATGATCCCCAATCAGAGACAACGATCGACAGCTGCCTCAGATTGGGAACCACACCCGGCCAACATAGAAATACAATGACATAGAATGTCCACATAGAAATTCCCACACATAGATATTCACACCCTGACTAAACCAACTAACCAACTCTATGTCAGGGCGTGACAAATTCACACACCTGTCAATATAATATGTTGTCATCCCTACTGCCTCTGATCTGGGGGACTTACTAAACACAAATGCTGCGTTTATAAATTATGCCTGAGTGTTGGAGTGTGCCCCTGGCTGTCCTTAAATTAAAAAAAAAACAGAAAATCGTGCCGTCTGGTTTGCTTAATATAAGGAATTTGATGGATAGCATTTACTTTTACTTTGTACTTTTACTCAAGTATGACAATTGAGTACTTTTTCCACCACTGTACTTAAGTAAATTTAAAACCAGATACTTTTAGACTTTTACTCAAGTTGTATTTTATCTTTATTTTTACTCTACTTTTTACAACACTGCATTTACGTTTGACATTTTAGTCATTTAGCAGGTGCTCTTATCCAGAGCGACTTACAGTTAGTGCATTCATCTTATGATAGCTAAGTGAGACAACCACATATTAAATATACAGGAAACAAACATTCCATTTAAGCCAAACAATGAATATATGTATATATCGTTTTGCCCCAAAAAATATTTTACTTCACTAAAATGTATCTAAAATCTATTAATAGAAAAATCTGAGAATATTAATATTTTACACACACATGAAGGTACCCATAAGCAATAATATCTGATGAAAAACAACAAAACAAAAAATTAATCAGGATGTGGATCTTCCAGCAAGACAGTAACCCCAATCGCTAATCAAAATCCCCAAAGAAATGGTTGACCACAAAATCAACATTTTTCAAATCATATCAACATTTTATTTGCCACATGCGCCGAATACAACAGGTGTAGACCTTACAATGAAATACTTACTTACAAGCCCTTAACCAACAATGCAGATGAAGGATATCAAGGATCTGGAAAGATTCTGTATGGAGGAATGGTCTAAGATCCCTCCCAACGTATTCTCCAATCTCATAATTTTGGGGGGTTGAAAAAGACTGTTGTTACCCTCGCAAGGAGAGAGTGCTAGAGTAATAATTTTGATCCATGTATTTTTTTGATTTTTCTCTGAGCATTTGTATTAGTATAAAATAATATAATTTTCAATTTGATTATGGACCCCACTGTCTATCGGTACAAATCTGGTTGGACATTACAGGACATTAACATTCTGCTTTGAAGAAAAAAGAAAGAGAGAGAGAGAGAGAGAGAGAGAGAGAGAGAGAGAGAGAGAGAGAGAGAGAGAGAGGAAAGAGAGACTGAATATATTCACACCTTCTGACTCACTGGTCGCTGCAGTTTATTAACACTATATTGAGAGACAGAAAAACAGAGAGAGAGGTGTTAAGACAAACAGGACAGACAGAAGTAGACACTGACTTAATAGAAAGAGAGAAAGAGTGAGAGAGAAAGAGAGAGAGACAAAGCAGGACACAGTGACCACAGCGAACCCAGAGGGCTATAGGTACCACACAAGGTAAGGGCTGCACCTCTCCTACCACGCAACTCACACTCTTCTATCAACATCAAAGATTCACTGCATGTGTACGTGGAAGTGTTGGTCTCTTGGACTCCATGTATGTTGAAAGATTGTTGGTTGGTGTATGTGTACTGTATTGATTGTTACTATTTCTGTTAACTCTTATGTCTGAATGACTGCATTTACTTTGAGATTAAATAGCCAATTGGGGTCATTCGGTAAGAATTCAATTTAATTTGAGTAGAGTCCCGACTATGCAGATCTGTTTGCTAGGGCTTGACTTGAGACTATATGAGTGAGTGAGTGTGTGTGTGTGTGTGTGTGTGTGTGTGTGTGTGTGTGTGTGTCTGTCTGTCTATGTGTGTATTTGCACACATGTATACATGTGTGTACTTATGCATGTTTGTGTGTGTATATATCTGTGTAACATGGTTTCCAGAGCAGCTGTAGGACTGTGCCGATGTCACTAGCTCTATTTCTGGAGGTTGTTCTAAAGGTCAGATAAAGTGGCTTGGAATCTTCGCAAGGCAGGAGGCACTCACTAACCACACACCAGAGAGCACTGACAGAGAGATATAGACAGAGAGATATAGACAGAGGTAGGAGGAGAGTAGAGATGGGAGAGACGAGGAGGAGAGAGAGATGAGAGAGAGAGAGAGGAGGTAGAGAGTAGAGAGAGAGAGTAAGAGAGAGAGAGAGACTGATGAAGAGAGAGAGAAGAGGAAGGAGCAGAGTAGGATAGAGAGAGCTAGCAGATGAGAGAGAGGAGGAGAGAGAGAGAAGAAAGAAAGAAAGAAAGAGAGGGAGAGAGAGAGCAATAGAGAGAATGAGAGAGCAAGTGAGGTTTCTTCCTAGAACAGAACTTTGAGGCTACACTGATTGATGGAAGGGACATTGAATGAACATAGATATTGAATGATCAGGAGCAATCCAATAACCTTGGAAAGGAAGAGTCTGATTTGACTTAATGTTTCAGAAGAAGTTGGACTAACAGACAAAGGAAGTCCACCAAACCATGGACGATGTATCACTCCACCAGGAGGATTCTGGGAACGATGCAACAGCCAACCAGATGGAGGACAACAACAACAATCAGGTGTGAGTGTGTTGATGAAGGAAACACACCCATAAACAGATACAGACAACCCCAAGACAATATGCATAGAGACAATCCTGAAACATCTACAGAAAAAAAATGCACACATTTTCAAGAAGAAAAAAACACATACAACATGAGCCATGTAGCTTTACAATGAGGTGGCAGAGTTGTTAGATGTATTTGTGGTGTGGTCCGATTTAGTATTTGGAGCGAAGATAGTGGGAGGGGTTGGTGGTGGTCATGGCTGGGCTACACCTGTTCCTGTGCCAAATTCTGACACAGGAATGTTGCTGCCTTTCTCTCTCTCTCGCTCTCTCTCTCTCTCTCTCAACACACCACACACACACACACACACACACACAAACATGTGTGTCTATCCTATTTCCACTGATGAGTCACTACCCTGAGTCATGACCAGGAGTGACACCTGGGACAGTTCCTCAAGTGCACTTACATAACATAATTCCAACATACTGTATTATCTGCGATGTTATATATCTTAAAATTAGGTTGAATATTTGCATAACATAAAAACAACATAAACATGTAATATGTTTGAGTTGTAATTTATTAAAGCCATGAAACATTATGATAAGCGTGTGTGTGATATTACAGCAATAAAAAACTCTGTACAGCCGGAGGCATGTGTTCTGAGCACCTAAGTAACAATGTGGATTCCCTGGAGTGAAGCAGACTAATTTCATATTTTAGTACTTAACTATGTACCATAGTCTCTCCCCTCAACAACTGATTTAAAATCAGGTCTCTGACAACAGTTCTGTCCTATAACCCTAACCAAACTACCTCAAGTGCTCATAATCGCCAATTGTAATCATATCTGGTTTGTCTCTCAGACAGAGAGAGAAGCTCCAGTGCAGGAGTGTGACCCCCCTAAGAGAGAGCACCTGGCGGGAGACACCGTGGAAGGTCATGGGGTCAAGTCAGGGGCTAATAGGGAGAAAGCTCCAGAACAGGCAGCAGGGGCTAGCATTGGAAACATAGAGGAGTCTCAGCCAGTAACCGACACCAATAAGGGTAATGGTGAAGAAGCTTGTAAGGGTGAGGAGGGGCCGTGTTATGGTGCAGACACCGGAGAAGCAGAAGATCCCAAAGTGGTGAACGGAGAGAAGAAGGGGGGGAGAGAGAAGGAGGAGGACAAGAATAGACAGGGGCAAGAGGTGGTCAAGAATGGAGAGATTGAGAAAAAGAAGGAGCTGAAAGAGGACAAAGAGAAGGGGGGAGAAAATAATGCCAGGAAAGAGGGGAAGGGAGGAAAGATAGAAGAGGGGAAAACAGAAAAGAGAAAAGGAGATGAAGAGAAGGGGAAAGACAGAAAAATAAAGGCAGGGAAGGGAGAGGGAGGGAAGGGAGAGGGAGAGGGAGAGGGAGAGGGAGAGGGAGAGGGAGAGGGAGAGGGAGGGAGGGAGAGGGAGAGGGAGAGGGAGAGGGAGAGGGAGAGGGAGAGGGAGAGGGAGAGGGAGAGAAGGGAAAGGGAGGGAAGGGAGAGGGAGAGGGAGGGAAGGGAGAGAAGGCACCAGAGAACAAGAGCAAACCAGTAAAAGAAAAGGAAGGGGCAGGAGGAGGAAAGGTTAAAGAGAAAAGCAAGGAGGTGGAGAAGCAAGCGAAGACCAAAAGAAAGAGTGGCTTGAATCCCACCGCCTCTACCCCATCCTCTGCAGCCCCCTCTGTGGTCCGACCCCGGAACTCTGCACGCTCTGCCAGGGCGTCCACTAAAAATGACATCATAGCAAAGTTCCAGCAAAATGCACCTGAGTAAGTTCTGACATGTGTAATATGACACAATGTGTATAATTAAATATATAACATTTATTAATATAACAACATTTTAATGGGAAGAATTGTATTTGTCTTTTGACTTATTTTCAGGACACCGGTTGTCCGCAACTTCAAACTTCAGAGATCATCTATGGCTGTGGCAAACGGGGCATCAATCAAACAGAAAGTGCTTTCATGGTGTGCCAACAAAACACGCAACTATGAGGTGAGGAGATGTTCATGGTCATGTGCACAAGAGACATAAGAACTGACATCTGGGGAACCATAACCCTGCCTGCCACCCTCTCTTTCCCAGGGCGTTTCCATAGAGAACTTCTCATCTTCATGGTGTGATGGGCTGGCGTTCTGTGCACTCATCCATCGCTTCTTCCCAGACGCTTTTGACTTCTCAGCCCTGAACGCATCTGAGAGAGAGAAGAACTTCACCCTGGCCTTCAACACAGCAGAGTACGAAGCTGTGTGTGTGTGTTTATGTCTGAGTGTGTGTTGAAAAGTAATTCTCTCTCTCTCATTTAAGGGGTTTATTGGCATGGGAAACGTATGTTAACATTGCCAAAGCAAGTGAAGTAGATAGTAAACAAAAGTGAAATAAACAATAAATATTAACAGTAAACATTACACTCAGATGATGTATATATACAGTGTTGTAACACTGTGCAAATAGTTAAAGTACAAATGGGAAAATAAATAAACATAAATATGGGTTGTATTTACAATGGTGTTTGTTCTTCACTGGTTGCCCTTTTCTTGTGGCAACAGGTCACACATCTTGCTGCTGTGATGGCACACTGTGGTATTTCACCCAGTAGATAAGGGAGTTTATCAAAATTGGGTTTGTTTTCAAATTCTTTGTGGATCTGTGTAATCTGAGGGACATATGTGTCTCTAATATGGTCATACATTTGGCAAGAGGTTAGGAAGTGCAGCTCAGTTTCCACCTCATTTTGTGGGCAGTGTGCACATAGCCTGTCTTCTCTTGAGAGCCAGGTCTGCCTATGGCGGCCTTTCTCAATAGCAAGGCTATGCTCACTGAGACTGTACATAGACAAAGCTTTCCTTAAGTTTGGGTCAGTCACAGTGGTCAGATATTCTGCCACTGTGTACGCTCTGTTTAGGGCCAAATAACATTCTAGTTTGCTCTGTTTTTTTGTCAATTCTTTCCAATGTGTCAAGTAGTTCTCTTTTTGTTTTCTCATGATTTGGTTGGGTCTAATTGTGTTGTTGTCCTGGGGCTCTGTGGGGTCTGTTTGTGTTTGTGAACAGAGCCCCAGGACCAGCTTGCTTAGGGGACTCTTCTCCAAGATCCAGGTGATGGCTTTGATATGGAAGGTTTTGGAATCACTTCCTTTTAAGTGGTTATAGAATTTAACGGCTCTTTTCTGGATTTTGATCATTAGCAGGTATCGGCCTAATTCTTCTCTGCATGCATTATTTGGTATTTTTCGTTGTACACGGAGGATATGTTTGCAGAATTCTGCATGCAGAGTCTCAATTTGGTGTTTGTCCCATTTTGTGAGTTCTTGGTTGGTGAGCGGACCCCAGACCTCACAACCATAAAGGGCAATGGGTGCTATAACTGATTCAAGTATTTTTAGCCAGATCCTAATTGGTATGTCGAATTTTATGTTCCTTTTGATGGCATAGAAGGCCCTTCTTGCCTTGTCTCTCAGATCGTTCACAGCTTTGTAGAAGTTACCTGTGGCGCTGATGTTTAGGCCGAGGTATGTATAGTTTTTTGTGGGCTCTAGGGCAATGGTGTCTAGATGGAATTTGTATTTGTGGTCCTGGCAACTGGCCTTTTTTTGGAACGCCATTCTTTTTGTCTTACTGAAATTTAGTGTCAGGGCCCAGGTCTGACAGAATCTGTGCAGAAGATCTAGGGGCTGCTGTAGGCCCTCCTTGGTTGGTGACAGAAGCACCAGATCATCAGCAAACAGTAGACATTTGACTTCAGATTCTAGTAGGGTGAGGCTGGGTGCTGCAGACTGTTCTAGTGCCCTCGCCAATTTGTTGATATGTATGTTGAAGAGGGTGGGGCTTAAACTGCATCCCTGTCTCACCCCACAGCCCTATGGAAAGAAATGTGGGTGTATTTTGCCAATTTTAACCGCACACTTGGTGTTTGTGTACATGGATTTTATAATGTTGTATGTTTTCCCCCCAACCCCACTTTCCATCAATTTGTATAGCAGACCCTCATGCCAAATTGAGTCAAAAGCCTTTTTGAAATCAACAAAGCATGAGAAGACTTTGCCTTTGTTTTGTTTTGTTTGTTTGTCAATTAGAGTGTGCAGGGTGAGTACGTGGTCTGTCATATGGTAATTAGGCAAAAAGCCAATTTGACATTTGCTCAGTACATTGTTTTCACTGAGGAAATGAACTAGTCTGCTGTTAATGATAATGCAGTGGATTTTCCCAAGGTTGCTGTTGACGCATATCCCACGGTAGTTATTGGGGTCAAATTTGTCTCCACTTTTGTGGATTGGGGTGATCAGTCCTTGGTTCCAAATATTGGGGAAGACACCAGAGTTAAGGATGATGTTAAAGAGTTTAAGTATAGCCAATTGGAATTTGTGGTCTGTATATTTTATCATTTATGCTGTTCCTTCTTTTTCCATAGTTTATTTCTGTATTGTTTTAGTGATTCACCATAGTGAAGGCGTAGGCTCAGGTTTTCTGGGTCTCTATGTTTTTGGTTGGATAGGTTTCTCAATTTCTTTCTTAGGTTTTTGCATTCTTCATCAAACCATTTGTCATTGTTGTTACTTTTCTTTGGTTTTCTGTTAGATATTTTTAGATTTGATAGGGAAGCTGAGAGGTCAAATATACTGTTTAGGTTTTCTACTGCCAAGTTTACACTTTCACTATTACAGTGGAACGTTTTGTGCAGGAAGTTGTCTAAAAGGGATTGAATTTGTTGTTGCCTAATAGTTTTTTGGTAGGTTTCGACAATACTTTCCTTCCATCTATAGAATTTCTTAATATTATTCAGTTCCTTTGGCTTTGATGCCTCATGATTGAGTATTGCTCTGTTCAAGTAGACTGATTTTGCTGTGGTCTGATAGGGGTGTCAGTGGGCTGACTGTGAACGCTCTGAGAGACTCTGGGTTGAGGTCAGTGATAAAGTAGTCTACAGTACTACTGCCAAGAGATGAGCTATAGGTGTACCTACCATAGGAGTCCCCTCGAAGCCTACCATTGCCTATGTACATACCCAGCGTGCAACAGAGCTGCAGGAGTTGTGACCCATTTTGTTGGTTATGTTGTTGTGGTTGTGCCTAGGGGGGCATATGGGGGAGGGAATGCTGTCACCTCCAGGTAGATGTTTGTCCCCCTGTGTGCTGAGGGTGTCAGGTTCTTGTCCAATTCAATTTAGGTCGCCACAGACTAGTACATGTCCCTGGGTCTGGAAATGATTGATTTCCCCCTCCAGGATGGAGGATCTGTCTTCTAGCACACAGGAGGACATTTTTCTCTGTTGAGATAATTTCCTTTTGAATTTCTAGCCAAATGTTCCTCTTTTGATTAATTTAATAGAGTGAATTAGGTCTGCTCTATACCAAATTAGCATACCCCCTGAGTCCCTTCCCTGTTTCACACCTGGTAGTTTGGTGGATGGGACTACTAGCTCTCTGTAACCTAGAGGGCAACCAGTGGGTCCGTCTCCTCTATACCATGTTTCTCCCTCTCTCTCTCTCAGGACCATGGCTGACTGCTACCCCCTGTTGGAGGTTGGTGATATGATCCTGATGGGGAACAGACCGGATCCTATGTGTGTGTTCACCTACGTCCAGGCCCTCTGTCATCACCTCTCCAAAATAGAGAAAGAGAAGAAGGACAAGGAAGAAGAGGAGAAGAAGGACACATCAGAGGAAAATAAGAGTGAAAGGATGACAGACGGAGAGGTAGAAACCATTACAGAGAAAAAAGAGGAGGAGAGCGAGGGGGGGAGGAACAAAGGGAAAGATGGTAAAGAGAAAGAAAGCAAGGAGAGCTCAGCGGTGGAGGGAGATAAAGAGAAATAGAGAGAGGAAAGAGAAGTTGTAGTGTTAGTTGAAGCACAGGCTTAAGCTAATACTAAAGATAAATTGAAAAGACCAAAGGAGAGAGATTCAGAAAGACTTTTCAAATAAGCTACATCATGAAGTAGAGTCTTACAGTGTTCAACACGAGTGTGTGTGTAGCATATATGAGCATCATTTTTTAAAGAGTGACACATTACTACTGTGTATTCAAAAGCTGGCTTACTGAAGGTTTGGAATTATGCTCAGATTCCAACAATGTGTGTAAATTCTAACCTGTTGTGATATTTTAAACATTATTTAACATGCTGTGTTTTTTCCCCAATTTCATTATCATGTGTGTTGTGGATGTTTGTGCGCAGGAACATTAAACGTCAATGTGTATTATTATGTATTCTTTTGATTTATTCATCAGACAGACCACCCATGTATCTACTTATTATGGATAAAGTTATTCATGGCCCTTGGGTTCATGGTGATCTATCTTGAATAGAAAAACTAATGATTTATGACAATGATGATGGGTGATTCGTCAGAAAAGTAGAACCCCAAAAAATACATTTACATTTTAGTCATTTAGCAGACGCTCTTATCCAGAGCGACTTACAGTTAGTGAGTGCATACATCATTTTTTATTTATATTTTTCATTCCCTGTGGGAATCGAACCCACAACCCTGGCGTTGCAAACGCCATGCTCTACCAACTGAGCTACATCCCTGGCGGCCATTCCCTTCCCTACCCCGGACGATGCTGGGCCAATTGTGCGCCGCCCCATGAGTCTCCCGGTCATGGCCAGCTACGACAGAGCCTGGATTCGAACCATGATTTTTTGGATTTTCATTCAATTTTATCCATAAAAGGGTCCTTTGGAGGAAGGGTTATTGACCTCTATTTTACATTTGTATCTTAGAGCATAATTGAGAAATAATTGATTGAAGTTGAAACATTGGTGACATTTTGGCATTACCCAGGCATCCTTTAAAGTGGAATTAGCAGTTGAAACAATAACCAAGCGAATTCCCTGCCCCTGTTTCCATAAAAAGCTGAGGGATGGAGCTGGAGAAATGTAACCACTTTCAAATTCATAGACAGAGCTATGGATGCAAGGACTGACCATCCGGTATTTTAAAATTATAGTTTTAACCATGTTTTGAGGCTATATAGTGTTTGTTTACATTTACTTTATTTACAAACATTTGTGAAAAACAAGAAAAGATTGTTGGCTGCTATGAAAGTGAACTGTGTGTGCGGGTGATCAGGGGTGTATTCATTTAGCTGATTCTGTTGCAAAATGTTTCTTAAACAGAAGCAAATCGAACGAAACGGGGTCCACCATGGCCACATTTTCTCAGCGCAAAGGCCTGAAGCCGGACCCAGAGAAAGTAAGAGCGATCCTCGACATGCCAAACCCGACTGATGCAAAAGCAGTGCAGTGTCTCCTCAGCTTTGCAAACTATCTCACAAAGTTCCACACCTGTCAGCAGTCTGTGAGCCTCTGTGATGGCTGCGGGACAAAGAGACAGCATGGCATTGGCTACCCAAACACGAAGCCTCGGTGCAGAAGATGAAATCCCTTCCCTCATCCATGCCAGTGTTGCACTAATACAACGTTATGAAGCCTGTCACAATCCAGAGCGACTCCAGCCAAAGTGGACTTGGATGCTGCCTCATGCAGGAAGCCCAGCCCATCGCTGGTTGAAGAACCACTTTGCCTCGAGAGATCTCACCCCCACCGAACAAAACTATACGCAAATTGAAAAAGAGTGCCTCAGCATCATCTTCTCCTGCCAGCGCTTCCATCCCTACTTGAGCTGATCACCACTGAAACTGATCACAAACCTCTCCCCAACGTGCCCAAAAGGCTTCAAAGCATGCTCCTGACTGCAAAACTACAGCCTGAAGGTAATCTACAAGCCAGGAACAGAGATGTACATCAGCAACACTCTGAGCAGTGCCTGTCAGTGACATGCCATCTGCTCCCTACAGCAGGAACAACTAATAGGAGACCCCTTTCACAGTGAGAGAATACTGGACCTTTCAAGACGAGATCGGCAAAAAATGGCAATCTTGTTCAGAGATCAGAAGGTCATTATCCCCAAATCACTACATCAAGAGATGCTTACCCGCACACACTCCAGTCACATTGGAGGTGATGCATGCTCCCGCCAAGCACGCAAAACATTATACTGGCCAAACATGCAGGCAGAAATGAAAGACTTTGTCATCAGCTGTACCACATGCAATGAGCATGCTCATGAACAGCTAAATGAAACCATGATGTTGCAAGAATTGCCCACAAGGCCCTAGCAGATCGTCAGCATGGACTTATTCAGTCACAGACAAAAGGACGATCTTCTCATCGTTGATCACTACTCTGACTTTTGGGAGATTGAACTGCTCCCTGACTTGTCTGCAGAGACAGTCATAAAGCGCTGCAAGGCACAATTCGCAAGGCAAGGCCAGCCTGACAAGGTCATCACAGACAATGGCACATAATTCATTGCACAGTTCAAGTGTTTCACCTCAGAATGGGAGTTTGACCACATGACCTCCTTTCAAAGGCACCCAAAGGCAAAAGGCAAGGCAGAGTCAGCTGTCAAGGTTGCAAAAAACCTGTTACACAAGGCCTTGCATGACGGACACAACCTCTGGAAAGCCATCTTACGGTGGCAGAACACACCCGCCGAAAACATGGACAGCAGCCCAATGCAAAGTCCTTCTGTCGAGACGTCTGAAGACTCCCATCCCCATAGCCAAAAAGCTACTTGAGCCCTAGGTCGTGGTTGGCGTCACCGACAACTTCCCTACAGAAAGCAGCTTGCTAAGTGCTTCTACGACCGGAATGCTTGAGACCTACCAGAGCTGGAGGTGGGTGAGACAATAAGGATGAAACCCACTGCCGGGAGACCACACAGGACTTTGGAGGCTGGGCAGGTGCCTACAGAAAGTCGCACCATGTTCTTACCTGGTGGATGTCGGTTGATTTCTCTATCGCTGCAACCAGGTGGATCTGCACGTAGCAGAGCAGACACTAAACCAAAACATGACGCCATACACTCACTTTTTTTTTTTTTTTTTTTTTTTTTTTCACCTTTATTTAACCAGGTAAGCCAGTTGAGAACAGGTTCTCATTTACAACTGCGATCACTCAGATGAGCCGGATCACAGTCCAGGCTGAAGTGAAAAGAAAATGCAATGAAATGTATATTTTATCCGAATTTGACGAGGGTCATGTTGGGAAAGCGTTCCTATTGTTTTTGAAAGAATATTTTGGCACAGCAAAAAAAAAGAAAACACTTTTAGCGTAGCCTCTTTTACACCCCTGGCTTACCCCTACTAGCTAACCACTAGCAGCCTTGAAATACATAACTTATTAGCAGTTCAGCACCTCAGAATTTCTCGTACTGTTACACAAATTCAAGATAAACCTTTACCATCATAGTAGACATTGAACGTCTGTCTGTAAGGGTCTTTCTATAAATAATGGGGCCAATGTTTGACATTGGGATCAAAATTCCAAAATGGTTTGAAACCAAAATAAAAATGATTTTTATGCAGTTTCACATGTGTACTAGAAGAATAAAAGTGAATATATGCAAATTGGCCCATAACTCCCCCTATAAAACAACATAGGCTTAGGACTGTGTTTCGTGTAGGCTTACCCTGGCGTGACGTTTTGATAACCATGTCCTCTGTAGCTCAGCTGGTAGATCACGACGCTTGTAACGCCAAGGAAGTGGGTTCGATCCCCGGGACCACCCATACACAAAAATGTATGCACGCATGACTGTAAGTCGCTTTGGATAAAAGCGTCTGCTAAATGGCATATTATTATTATTATTATGTAAATCTCTTTCGGACAAGGGTAAGCCTACACAAAACACAGCCCTTATTTTAAGTGTTTCCAAAATCCCCTATGGGATAGTGTCGTATCGGGTGAATGGTGGCAATTATTGCTGATAAACAAAGGAGTCCGCTCATACTGAACTTTGATCATAAGGTTTATTCAGATCACAAGCTTCAGCATAAGTGACAGATGTCATGACATCCGGAGAGCGACGCCTCAGAATGGCCGCTCTGCCCTTTCATTGTCTAACCCCTACTTATAAACGATGCAAAAAGATGGGTGGCTCCCTCTTCTGGCCAATCACCAGTCTCCCCTGGGGCGTCACCCCACAAACGCCACATTTGTCCTAACATGAACAACATTCCATTTCTTCAAGAAAAACATTTAACAAAGGCATAATCCCAATACACGACATTTCCCCCCTTCGAGACTAAACAGTCTCGAAAACAAACAGAATAGGATTATGACAAGTGACAATTTATCTTATTGAGTATCTTTAACATTAAACCAAAAAAACATTCTTCTCTAGAGTGTAAATACCTTTCTATGAAATATGAATAACTGTTTATGAAGTGTGAATACATTACTATGAAATATGAACAAATCTTTATGGAGTGTAAGAGCGAAAAACTGTCCGGCAACCTTCGTTCCAAATCCATCCATTAATCAAGACAGTAAAATTCTCTCACGGTCCCTCTGCCCCAGGCAACCACCTCGGTACTCCCGATAAACTCATAAACAATGTAAATGCATTTGAAACTATGATGCAATTAAATACACATGTAAGCCCCTGCAAACAAAATCCTATCCAAAAAATATCCACTCTAAGGCTGGTCAACCCATTGGACCCTACAGTGGACCTCTCCCTGCCTAGACTCCCTGTCCCTAAGCATCACCGAAATAAACAAAAACATCTAAGATCCCCACATGTATTCAATAACATCAAACATCATTCTACAAAAATTAATACCTAAGAATATGACACAATTATGTATTACACATCAAATATGTCTATATTTCATTGCAGACACTGGAATGTAGTCCACTACACTTCATCTCCCCGTAGTTTCGACTTCCAATGGACTGTTGATGATGGAATCGGAATCTTTCCACCCCTCCTTGTTTTATCTCCTCCAGTCATTGTCCTTTCATATTGTCCTTGTTTGAGTATTTCAATCTCCACATGTCCCCCAAATGCTTCTGGAAGAAAAGGAAAGACCAAATAGTATCTTTTGCAAAACAACACTTTCAAATTAAACATCAATATCAACTAAGAATATAGAAATGATATATAAATGATGTATGAATCACATTAACCCTTTCCCCCCTTTGATTCATAAAATCATACCAAAATCACCCTAATATTGAAACATTTTTTTGAAAA